ACAGTTGTATATGTGTAAGTGTGTGTGTAGATAAGTGTGTGGGTGTGTGTATATGGTATAGGTGTGGTGTGTGTTTACATGTATGAGTGTGTGATATAGATACATTCGTCTAGGTGTGTGTGTAGGTGTAGATATCTGTGTGTGTAGTGATATCGGTATGTATATAGATATGTGTACATGTGAGATATATATATATGTATGTATGTATGTATACATGTATGAGTGTGTGTGTGTGTGTGTGTGGTATAGGTGTGTATGTAATATAGGTATATGTGTCTATGAGTGTGTGTGTGTAGGTGTGGGGGTTAGCGTGTGTGAAGTGTGTAGTTGGTGTGTGTTAGTATCCTCGGGGCTCTGTCTCAGGTTTGATCTAGCCTGTACCCTTTGTCTGAGTGAGACAGCCCTGCTCTGGCTCTAACCCTCCATCCTTAACAAATAAAACTCCAATCTGGGATGAGGGAGAAAGAGGCTCCAGAAAAAGAACTTCTTCCCAAGTTCCAAAAGAAAATACACAACTTGTATAACATGCCACATGCCGAGTCCTGTAGAGGAGGAAGAGGGGGGACTTTGTGTCCTCTGCCTCCAGAAACGTTCATGAATGCGACAATTAAATGAGAGAAGGGGCTGAGTGTAATTGGGCAGATGCCTGGATATGAATCCCAGCACAGTGTTTCCTTGCCCTGTGACCTTGGGCAAGTTACCCCTTAGCATTTCCTCATCTGTAAGTGAGGCCATTAGCATTCACATCACCACCCAGCGGTTGTGAGGAATTAATTGAGTCAACACAGGCCGAAGCCCTTGGCACAGTGTGTGCACAATCCTCTCTCCAGCGTTCACATGGCCGATATGGTCATTAAGCCAGGGTGTCTTGACACTGTGTCTTCACACAGCAGTGGGGATCTGACCCAATGGTGTGGATAGGGCTGAGGTTCTGTGCTTCTAACAGGCACCCAGGGGTGCTGCTGTTGCTGGACTATAGTCCACACTTTGAATAGCAAGGGATGAGGTCGCTACCCACTGGTATTTTGTCACCTAGAGCCTACAGCATATTCACGGACAGAGGTCTAAGCTGCATGTATCTCTACCTGGAGACCCGGCTGGGATTGCAGCTTGACCATCATCTTCATACCTGTCTTTTGCATCGGTTTCTGGATGATTGGTCAGTGCCCTACAGTGGAAGTTCCTGAGGACATAGTTTCCCTGATGGCCAACCTGGCTGTCTGGCATACTATAGGTGCCTAATCACAGGTGTTGACATGGAAACTCACATGGGAAGGCCCTGTCTTTACATGCCTGGGATCGGGATGCTCAGCGGCCCAATCCAGAAGTGCCAGGGACAGCAGCCTTGTGGGGCTCTTGGAGTGAGGTTGGCTCCCTGTGAGCATCTGCTGGGCTGGCAAGAGCCTGAGAGATGGGGGAAAGAGGAGGAGACTCACAACCCTTCCTGTTTCAGAGCCTGGCAGCTGGGTCTGACCAGCTCTCCAAACACCGAAGGGACAGAAGTGGGTGGCCACGGATGAATACTCTCTGTCCCCTTCTCACCCAGGGGCTGGGTGAAGTGTCAGCACCTGGCTGCTCCCCAACAAGAGTCAACCCCTGCTCGATTTCTACAGGTTGATAATTCTGGGGTGCCTTCATATGCTAGTAATGCCACCAAGGACACAGCGTCCCTCTACCTTCCTCCTTTCAGACTTGGCATGTGGCATATTAAGTTGTTGTGCATTTATTATGGTCTGCCCCCAATGCTGGAACTAGTATCTTCCAGACTTCTGATCCTTCCTCAGTTTCCCCAAACTTTTAACGGGCACTACAGTGCCGGGTTTTTTAGCTACAGTTAAAATGCTCAGTGCTCGTTCGCACGCTGTAGACTTATACATCTCTGGGAAGGCTCACCTTATCCACTAGGAAGCAACTGACCCAAAACAGCAACACACACAGCTCACAGTGGCTGAATTAGCAATAAACAACACTGACAGTGGCCACTGTCACCGTCAGCGTGTGCTGGTCACTCACTCTTCTGAGTGCTTCCCATATACCCACTTGCCCTCCCCGCTGCTCTCTGTGCAGCCCACTCCATTACTTCCCCTCCCCTTGTTTTCCAAGAAAGGGTTTCTCTGTGTAGCCCTAGCTGTCCTGGAACTCACTCTGTATACCAGGCTGGCCTCAAACCCACAGCGATCCACCTGCCTCTGCCTCCCAAGTGCTGGGATTAAAGACCTGCACCGCAACTGCCAGGCATACTTCCCCCTTTCCACAATGAAACAATGGCTCAGAGGGGTGGCAACTTTCCCAGAGCTTCATGGCAACTAAGAAGCATGAACCACAGGCCAAGGCTGCCCTACCGCAGAGCCTATTTTGACCCTGCCTATAATGCAGTTGGACGCTCTGTCCCTGTAAGCATAGTTCAGCAAATGACACCCACCCAGAGCCCGTTCTACCCACAAGCAGGCAGTGTCTCTGTTCTTCCTCATGATACCTCCCTACTATGCTTCCTCCGTGGGAGCCCTGTGATGGACTGTCTTTCTTTCCTTTTCCATGATATAGGACTGCAGCTCTGATACGTCAGCTGCCACCTAGGGCGCCACGCTGCTTCCCTGGGACTGGTTCTTTTAATATCCTGAGGCCAACATGATGTCTTGTGGCCTTGAGATCACGGATGTACCCAAGGACAGACACCCAATGCGCCATTAGCAGGGACAAGACTAGGTCTCAGGCCTCCTGAATCGGACCGGCACCTGTCAGTGGGAAGGCACTATTTCCTGGGTGCCTAGATGACGTCCTCCAAGCTTGGCTGCCCTGCCAAGCGTCTTAGGTTACTCAAAATGCAGGTTGATGCCCTCCTCTCCCCTCCTCCTTCTCCCGCTCCTATTTCTCCTCCTCTCCCTTCCGCTGTCCACCCCTCTTCCCTCCCACCGGAATGGCTCCTTGAGGTGGGTGGAACAGCAGCTCTGCCAAGACCAGGCCATTCATAAGACTGGAGATGCCCGGTATGGGGGTGGTGAGGATGGGAGTGGGGGACAAGACGTTTAGCCAGCAGGAGTCCTAGCTGAGGCAGACCATCGAAGAAGGGCAGAGGCTGAGCCCTTCCCACCCCAAACTGGCTGGAGTCTGCACCCAGTCCCCAGCTGTGAGGGGCAGCCACTCAGCCAGTGCAATCCAGCAAAACCCCCATGAAGACAAAACGTTCTGTTTCTTGCCCTATCCCACACAGCTGCCATGACCTATGTGCCACCAGGAGGACTTGCATACAGATAGCATGACAATTTATTTAATTTCAGCTCATTTACGTGTCCATAGCCATGCGCAGCAGACACCTGTGCAGATAGATAGCACAGACCCCAACTTGCCCAAGCCTCGGCTTCCTCCCAGGTCCCTTCCTTGCCTCAATTGGAAAAACGAAGCAATGTGTTAGCATGGCCTGAGCTCCAGCTGGCATCCGGACTCTCGAGTGCCACATATTTGTGGCAGTGTGGCCCTGGGCAAGGTTCCAAACCCCTCTGAGTCCTGGGCCATCTGTACAGTATGGAGTTATTTTGAATTTAAGATTCTTAGCCAGGAGCTCATGGATGGGCATGAGGGGGAACCTAAGAAGGGTAGGTTTGTGTGACTTGTGTGTGTGTGTGTATGTGTGTGTGTGTGTGTGTGTGTGTGTGTGTGTTCATGGGGGAGGCAAACCTCAAACTTCCCCTAGTTTTCCAAGGGCCCATAAAGGTGAAGCCCCTAGCCTAAATGAGTTCTTCCAGAAGGCTGAGAAGCTGACTTTCTGGGCTCCCTCCCAGTCACACTGGTCGGGGTGGCTGGGACACAGAGCCCTGCCATCTGCATTTGTAACACGTACCCAGATCCTGGTGTGCAGCCCCAGAGGAAACTCTGGCGAGAAGCCAGGCAGCCCAACCTTCTCAAGACTTGACATACATGAGTCTTTATTAAGCCCTAGTTTGTATTTTTAAAACCCAGCTGGGATTTTAAAAACTAAGGAAAAAGGAAACAACAATGACGTATTACTGAACCCCGGCGACTCCTTTCTCTGGGTTATCATCCAGCACTGGTGTGCAGTATGTGCCAAGCGCTGCCCTGTGCTGTCTATCCAATATTAACTCAGGGTTACAAAGATAATAAACACTTAATCCTTACAACATCTGTGACTTTTTTTTTTTTCTTTTTTCTGCTGCTGTGAAGAAACACTGTGATCCCAGCAACTTACCAGAGGAAGGACTGATTTCAACCCAGGTTTAAGGATTCAGACCACCACCCCGGCGGGAAGTGGAGGCAGCAGTACTTGAAACAGTTGGTCAGACGGCACCCAGTTGGGAAGCACAGGGCCACAGCTGCTCCCTCTCAGTGCTCGGCTGGATTCCTATCTCTCTTTTTCAGACAGGGTCTCACCACATAGCCCTGGCTGTCCTGGAACTCTGTGTAGACCAGGCTGGCCTCAAACTCATAGAAATCTTCCTGCCTCTGCCTCTGCCTCTGCCTCCCAAGTGCTACAATTAAAGGCACATGCCACCATGCCCAGTCCTGGCTTTTTTCTTTTTTTTACACAGTCCCGGACCCACCCCTGGGGGATGGCACTGCCCACTTTTGAGTGTGGGTCTTCTCAACTCCAATAAACCAACACAGCTCTCACAGGCTTGGCCAGAGGCTAAATAATTCCTTACAGATGTACCTGGAGGCCTAGGTGATTCTATAGCCTGTAACATTGACAGCTAACAGTAACTATCACAATCCCAAGGTGGTTGATGCCTTTGCCTCGCTTTACAAATAAGGAAACTGAGCTTCAAGGATGTGTCCTGTTCAAGGTCACACAGACCCAAAGTGGTAGAGCTGGGGGCAAGCGTAAAGCCGGGGCTCTTACTGGTGTCATTTGAAGGCCCTAGAGGCTTAGCCGACAATCCCACAGGCCCAAGGACTAAGGGTTCTTGGGAAGCTTGCTTACTCCCTCCCCCACCAAGAAGATTGGGAGCAGTTAGGCTGCAGGGAGGTGCAGGCCCCACACTCACTTGCCCTCCGAGCCATAGCTATTCATGCTGTCCTCGATGGACTCATGGCTGGCTTGGCGCAGTGTCCGGCTGGGCATCTCCACGGCCAGTCCTGTCTCTGTGCTCCTCTGAATGGCACCCTTCAGCCTCCGGCTGTCTGCTGTTGAGCACAGGGGCCAGGAGAGATGGGGAGAGACATGGGGAGCAGGAGGGACAAAGAAAGACGTTGTCTGGTTAGCATTTCAGAAGCTGACAGCAGACAAGCTTCAGCCCTAGCCCAGCCCACCAATGTCCTTGACCCCGCTGGCTCATCGGTACCCATTCTCTCTGGGGCACAGGGTGCTCCACATAGCTACCCAGCACACAACACCCTCTTGAGCTTGGTTAATGGACAGGCTTATTTACATTTTCTCCCCTGCAGTCTTCTGCGATTACTCCCTACCCCCTTGTCCTCTACTGATACTGCCTTAAGCACCTACCATGGCTTATGCTCTTTCAGGTACTCTGCAAGGTCAGGCTAGGCCTTCTCAATGCCGGAGTCACAGACTGTGTGGGTAGCATCCTGCCCTGTTGTTGGCGCTCTCTTGCTCATTGTGGAATCCCTAGCAGTACCTCTAGCCCTCCTCACTAGATGCTAGTGGCGCCCCAGTCCAGCCATGCCAACCAAAGTGTATCCAGACATTACCAACTATTCTCTAGAGAACAATTTGCCCACATTGAGGATCGCCAAAATCACTTTGAAGCCACATGGCAGGACTCAAATCCTGAATGAGAATACCTTTCTCATTGGCTAGAGAGCGTATGACATACCCGGCCTCCCTGGGCCTCCATTTGTTTATCTGTAAATTGGGAGAACTACAGGGTGATGGCCTTTGTGCTTGGAATTCCTTCCCATCCTGCCTTTCTTTATCAGCCACTCACTCCTTTGACTCCATCTTGTGACACAACATGCTTTCTCTCTCTCTGAAGGCCTCCAACCAGCTCCTGTCAACTCAGTCCGTCCATAACCAGCCCCTCTGCCTAAGAGCCTGTTCTTGGTTTCTTCCTGGTGCTGACCATGTAATGTGGTCACGTGTTGACTTCTTAATTGGCCAGCCTCCACAAAGGTGCATTCACCAATGGAAGCCCCCGGGCCAAGAACAGTGTTCATTATGGGTGGATAGACCATGGTGTCCCAAGGAATCCATAAAGCTGAGGTTCCTATTCGCCCTCCTTCAGTGTGGAGGATAATGACAAACATCAGGGACTGGTTCACAGAGGCAGTTAGGAAGAGCAGGAATGTGCCCCGAAGGTCTCCCTCAGAGCCCCATGGCCTGATAATTCATGGTAAGCCTTACCTGTCCCACAGACACTATGGCTCACTATGGATGTGGTAGATTCTTAGTAAGACTTTTCCCACAGCACCCCAGAATCTGGAGATAGGCTGGGGACCTTGCAGACTTCATCAGGGAGTGCTGGCTGACTGACCCACTGGGGAATGCAGCCAGCCATGTGACCCCTGTCTGCTTGTTGCTGACAGTGGGCCAAGCCACCTTAGCCTTCTCTGCTGGTCTCTTCCCAGTTCTAGAATTACGGTATCGTGGCTTCTCAACTCTGAGTCTCAAATGTGCATGTACAGAGCTATCAAAGTTGTGTATGTTTGCCAAAGTGTGTACTCACATGTTCCTGTCTCCTACACGTGTCCTTGGTGTACTGACACGGAAATGCCATGTATAATCAGAGAAACACATAAGAATATACACTCAAAGATGCAAAGAATAGTGTGTGTGTGTGTGTGTGTGTGTGTGTGTGTGTGTGTGTGTGTGTTTCCACCTGTTGCTAGCTGCTGTCTGTGTCTGAGGACAGTTAGGTGGTGTGTACCTGTATCATTTGAGTCTGTGTTTCTATGGGTCTCTAGCCACTGTTCAATGGGTGTGAGGGTAACTGGGTACACCAGATGTGCAGCCTTAAAAGGCCACACCCACCCACTGGAGAAAGCTCACTGAAGAGGCAGCAATATGCATGTTTCCCTGTGTCACCCAGTGTCTAGGAACACGTGATGGAAGTGTGTCTGTCTGCATTCACTTTCTCTAACCAGCCATCTCCAGTCCCTCTCCGTGTTCAGCAGGCACAGAAGTATGGACAGATCCAGAAATACCAGGTGAGAGAAGTGGCCCCCTACACACAGACACACGCAGACAAGTGCAGTCATGCACAGGGCCAAGCAATCCCTCCCTGAGGCTTCAGACCCGCAAACCAGGCACCCCCGGACACGCTCCAGGCACCTTACCAGGCATCTGACCCCTATCCCTGAGCCCTGTGCCCTGTCTCCATGTCACCCTCACAGACTGACACAGAGGCATGACCAACAGGGCTGAGGAGATCGGGATGTCTTTCATGTCTGTGCCAGCCTGTAGTCCTCAGGGAATCTCACGCTCAGGCTCCTGCAGCTCATGTCAGTGGGATTCAGGAAGGAGGGAGTCCGGCTCTTTAGGAGGATGAAACGTGTAAGGGGTTAATGACGGAATGTTTGCCACCATGCCTGGCACCATAGATGTTACTCAGAAGTGCTACAGTCATTACAGAGAGAGAATGACCTCATGACACTTCCCAGTTTACCCTGCCCAGCTGCCTTGCTGATGTTTTCACAAACATGCTGCATTCTTCCACCCGAGACTCTCTGTACCCAAGCATTCCAGGGATGCTCACCACCTAACCTCAGCTACTCAACTCCACTCAAGCAGTCTCAGGCTCTTATTCCCTAGGAGGACGATGTCCCTCCGCATGTCCCTCCTCTGGGAGAAGAGACATCTTTCAGTCTAATCCTGAGAAAGATCACATTAGGATAGGTGGGTTTTAGGGTAGGGAAGTTTGGAAAGCATAAACACAGTCACTATGGAATCAGGGACAACCACCGCCTCCACAGACAATGGGGGCAAAAGTGTCACTAACCTGGTAGATTAAGCATGGAGGGGGTTTCCTAGAGGTAGTGAACTCTGGGCAAAAGACTGTTTCCATCCTGCACAGTTACCATTTGTGGAGCTCTGTAGACCCTGGATACCAAAAGTGCCTCTGTCTATCCTCAAGGCTGGCACCCTGTTGTCTAGTAAACTGAGTATGGGTGCCCATTTTCCCTAGGCACTCATCTTTGATGTACCCCAGATTCAAACTGTATAGTTTGCATTTTCTCCCACAGGGCCCTAATCCCCCCTCCCAATTTTTTAGAGGGAGGAGGGGAGACAAGGGTTAGGAAGAGAAGGCAGAAATGACGAAGGACTAGAAGATGGGAGCTGGATTGGCATGGCCCTTGGCTCTGTGACCTCACTCTTGAGAGCGCAAAGTCGATGATCAGTGATTAGTCACAGGTAAACTAAGTGCTGGGAAGAGCCAGCACAAGATGTAATGACACAAATGGTGGTCAGCAGAGATGGGGACTAACTTAGGACACTGACTCCTTTACCAGCAAAGCCGGAGTTACGGACTCTGTCTTTGACATCTTTGATAGTGAATTCTACTGGCTTCCCACCTGCCTCCTGCCATCAACTCTGTTCACAGCCCTACTGGCTTCTACATACATTAGGCCCTTGCCATTCATGCACCTTTGGAGGAATCTATCTATCTATCTATCTATCTATCTATCTATCTATCTATCTATCCATCCATCCATCTACCTTTCTCCTTGCCATTAGTGGTTCATCACTCCCCCACAACCTCAGAACTACACTATGCAAATGATCCCTACACCCTAGTCACAGCCCCTAAGCCTGTGTTTATTGAAACTGCCTTCCATCACCATATGGAAGAGAACCAGGTCCCTGGACTCAACCTAAAGAAAGTTCATTCTACTCTGGGCTTTCTTCTTCCAATAAGCTTCTAATCCATGTTGCCCCTCCCAGACTCATGACCTCCCCGGATCACAGAGGCTTTTTCTCTCATTCACTGTGTTCTAGGGCTTGCAAAGTCATTGTCCCTTATACTGTATACCCCCCTTCCTATCCACGGCCAAGTACCCCTGCTACCTCAAGCTTGAACTCTAAATAGCTTTTGAGTCGCTTCCAACCCACCACCCACAAGCCATTAACAGATTAAAACACCACTTCAGACCAAGGCATTCCACTCTGACTAGTCCATTCTACACAAGCAACCACAGAAGAGCACAAAGCTATGCACCGAGGGGCTCCCCACTGTACTGTTCACATCAACGAGATGCTGGAGTTAACTGCCCACCAATGAAGGACCAGTTAATTAAATGACACATCACCACAATAAAAGACCATGTAACTGATGAAAAGACTCATCTGCATCCACAGTGACACAGGACGGCTCCCTCAGCAGACTGCTAAGTTAAAAAAGCAGGTTGCAGGCAGTATGTAAAATGTGGTGCCATTTCTGTAAAGCTATAGATAGCTATGCATGTGCGCGTGTGTGAGTGTGTGTGTGTGTGTGTGTGTGTGTGTGCGCGCGCAGAGAGAGAGAGAGAGAGAGAGCAGTTGGTCTTCATGTTTATTCATATGAACAGAAAAATCTAGGAAGACATGAACTAAAAAGCCAATGGTGAGTAATTGTGGGGTGGGGATTTTAGCAGGAGTTTGTACAAGATCATTTTTTTTAAATAACATTTACGTCTAAGTGTAAGTGCACAGACTGTAAGTGTAGAGCTTGGCGACTTTTTACAAACTAAATAAGACTGTATAATTAGCACGGATTTTAAAACAAACAAACAAACAACAAGCATTCCTAGGACCTCAAGGAGCCCAGCACCTTCCCCAGTAGTTTACAGGAGCAGCCGCCACCTGGGTCTCTAATGGCAGCAATTACGTTTGCATGGTTTTCACTGCCATGGAAGGAGCCTTCTTTTCTGTGGAGAAGCAGCTGCTTTCTTCTCCTGCTTTCACCTTCAAGGTCCATGCGCCTTGCTGTCCTTAGTCCACACAACTTGTTTAGGCGCTGTTTTGGTGGGGGGCTTTTGCAGGCTTTTCATCAAGTTTGAGGCTATGGAGGAGTCATGTTGCTGTGGCTATTTTAGTGGCAGGCTCTTGGGGGTGGGGATCTGCACCTGTGTCTTTTGGAAATGTACCTGGGAGTGGAGCTGCTGGGTCACAAGGTAGATATTTGTTCCGCTTTAGCTGACTCTGCCAAATAGCTTCACCGATTTAGATTCTATCTAGTACACTGGGGAGG